CTTTTCCAAGTTGTCACACTGTCGTAGTACAGTGTGACAACTTGGAACATATTACAATCATAAATTGTTTTAAAGAAAACTGAAATACGTGTATAAAATATAAAGTCTAGGATTATTGTAATAATATTTTATCCAAAGTTCTAAGAAGTGTTCTTTGATTTGTAATATGATTATGTTTTTAATGCTTTTTTGCTTAAAATAAAACTTTTTTAATGAAAATGTTGTGCTTATTTAAGCGCTTATTCTTAATTTTTTTGTGCTTATAAATCCGCTCTCTAATTATAAACTTCTCGATTTTGAAATTTTGAAGCTTCGATTGTTGTGTCAACAAGAATGCAAGCCTTATTAATGTATTTAACTGTATTTACAACAATTTAGAAAACGTGCAATTTCTAAATATGGAATGAAATCTCTGGCACCGAGATTCGCCTGTGCGTTTCCTGATATATTCGGGCGGGATTCCTTGAACATCAACCCATCTGCCATGTCATGCCGCATTATATCAATTTTTAATGTACCCGTCGTTCCGCGTCACATCTAGTGTTCAGCAATGCCAACGTAATTAACTAAATGACGTTCCATCGATTAATTAACGTAATGAATGCCCTTTTAGAATCTCTGAAACGCGCTCACTGTCATCGTCCAAATCTCATTACCGCAACGTGTACGTCAACCCAGGTAAAATTGGCGCAGTCGGTAGGATCGGCATCCGTGCAATTCGCGCTTTAGCTCCCGACTTTGAAAAATTGTTATGTAAAGTCGTACAACGGGCCATCACATTTGTCTGTTTGTTCCCGCGTTTGAGCTTTGCGTTTTAGCAAATTTTAATGTAACCGCTGCAAAGTTATTTGATTAATTGAAACTGCCGTTAAAACAACAATTTAACAGTTGAAATATTGTGCGGGCAATTCCGATATTTAGAAGCGCGAAGCGGCGGTTCTATTTGTCCGGATTTATTTTATAATCGGCCTAGGAGTGGGTTAATGCCAGAATTTGATTATGGTCGATATAAATATATCAATAATTCGAACAAAACTGGCGGAAATTTAATTAGGTCGGCGAAATTGTTCAGTGAATACTGTATGCGATTACGAGTTAATGCCGTCGAGGGGTTTAATGGCAGCGTACCCGTATAAAGCGGTTTCGGAGCAAGAATACCACCTTCATAGCTTGTACTTTATTACCGTTAATTGAATTCAGCCGGAGCGGATGATTCGATTCGACGAAAAAGTGCGCCTCGGCGGGGCCGTAAATCAAATACGATGCAAAATTTGACGCTGCTGTTGCAACTTGGAGTAATTTACGACATTAGCGGCGTTCCGGGGGCTGGACTCCTCGGAATTGGCCAGCGAGTGAGGGTTTTTGCAGCGACGGAGTGAAAGAAGCGCCGGATTATCGGAGAATAAAAAGCTCGATAAGCTGAGCTTTGTTCGAATGTAGACTTTGAATATTACTATGGAGTTAAATACGAGTGCGAAATTAATTCGCGGAGTCGTTGATGTATAAATTTTTAACTACACCAAATGATTTTGCTGGACATAATAAAGTGTACTGTTTGAACAAAGTAGCCCTATACGAGTACTTAAAAAAAATGTAGAGGAATTAAATCACCAAAAACACAGCCATAGCTTTGAATTTTATAAGTGTTCAGCCGATTTCTTCGCACTCCGCACCAGACCAAGTATAAACAAGTTAAAAGAGTGCAGCATAATGTTTTCGAATCAGAGGCACCGGTTAAGATATGGTACATTATTAAATTTAGCGCTTTTTCAAAGAAGCGGGATTTGTTGGACTGTATTTCAGGGACGAGGGAAGTACTGTCGAAATAACCTTAAACCATTTTTTTTTTGGTTTGGTAACGCATTCTTTTGATATTTCATTCTGACAAGATGTATGTTATCACTCTATAACGTTTGTTACCACATAGATAATGAAAAACAAAAATTGTCGACGCATTTCGCCAACCACATTGGCATTATCTTGACAAAATTAAATTAAAATAATTACAATTACATTAAATAATACATGGAAATTTCGACGTTATACATCGAACCGTGGAGTAGCTACGTCAAAATTTGTCTCCACTACATTTCAGTCATCAAAATATTTTTGTAGATTTCTAAGAATACAGATCGAAAATTTTGACAATATGTATCGAAATTTCGACATAAAATCGAATTTTATTAGATTCTACTACGTAGAAATTTGTTCCCATTGCATCAAAATCTTGGATAATATAAATAGACTTTAACTAATGAAAATAAGGAAGATTTTATTGTAAGACATAGAATTTGATTTCTGTGACATCGAAAATTCAAACAAATGCAGCAGTTGTTAGTGAATTTAAAACAAATATTTCAACTAAATACATAGAATATCGTTGCTCTTGAAAGAAAATGTTAGACAATTGTATCGAAATTTTGGCATCATGATATATTGAATTTTCAACATTATACATCGAATTTTAGAGCAGCTGCGTAAAAATTTGTCTCCATTACATTTCAATCATCAAAATATGGAAATTTTGTCTTAAGACGTAGAAGTTTGCTCTCGTGAAAGTGAAAATAATTAAGTACATCAGTTTTTTAGTGAATTTGGAGTAAACATTTAGTCTATATCGAATATTTTCCTATTATAGGAAAATTTTACGCAACTATCGATTTTGTGGATTTCTAAATCGAAATTTTTGACAACATGCGTCAAAATTTCCACATAACATCGAACTTTAGAGCTACTGCTCAGAAATTTGATTTCATCGAGTCAAAATCTTGGATAACGTAAATAATTAAAAATATAAAAAAAATGAAAATCGCCAATATTTTGTCGTAATATATCAAATCTTCTCGTGACATCGAAAATGCAAGCAAATGCCAGCAGTTTTTAATGAATTTAGGGCAAATATTTCAACTACTTTGAATAATGTTGTTACTAAACAAAAATTTTTGACAACTGTATCGAAATTGTGGATTCCGAAGACGTAACATCGAAATGTTGGCACCATGCATGGAAATTTCGACGTTCAACAACGAACTTTGGAGCAACTACGTCAAAATTTGTCTTCATTGTATTTCATTCATCAAAATATGGAAATTTTGTCGTAAGACTTTGAAGTTTGTTCCTGTGACATCAAAAGTTCAAATAAAAACAGCAGTTTTTAATGAGCCTAGAGCAAACATTTGAACTGCATCGAATACTTCGTCCTTTTTCGCTCTTTTCGTCCTTTTTCGTCCTTTTCGTCCTTTTCGTCTTGTCTCGTCCTTTTTCGTCCTTTTGGTCCTTTTTCGTCATTTTCGTCCTTTTCGTCCTTATCCGTGCTTTTTTGTTCTTTTTTGTCCTTTTGTTTTTTTTTCGTCCTTTCTTGTCCTTTTGGTCCTTTTTCGTCCTTTTAGGCCTGTTTCGTCCTTTTCGTCCTTTTTCGTCCTTTTCGTCCTTTGCCGTCCTTTTTTATCCTTTTTCATCCTGTTCGTCCTTTTTCGTCTTTCTGTTCGTTTTTCGTCCTTTTTCGTCCTCTTCGTCTTTTTTTCGTCCTTCTTCGTCCTTTTCGTCCTTCTCGTCCTTGTTCGTTCTTTTTTGTCCTTTTTCGTCCTTTTCATCCTCTTTTGTCCTTTTCGTCCTTTTTCGTCTTTTTCGTCCTTTCTCGTCCTTTTTCATCCTTTTGTCCGTCCGACTTTGTGGATTTCTAAGAATTCATATCAAAATTTTTCATATATCATATGGAAATTTTGTCGTAAGACAGAAGTTTGTTCCTGTGGCATCAAAAGTTCAAACAAAAAACAGCAGTTTTTAATGAGTCTAGAGCAAACATTTGAACTGCATCGTCCTTTTCCGTCCTTTTTCGTGCTTTTCGTCCTTTTTCGTCCTTTTTCGTCCTTTTCGTCCTTTGTGTCCTTTTTTGGTCCTTTTTCGTCCTTTTCGTAGTTGTCGTCCTTTTCGTCCTTGTGCGACCTTTTTCGTTTTTTTTTCGTCCTTCTCATCCCTTTTCGTCCTTTTCGTCCTTATTCGTCTTTTTTCGTCATTTTTTGTCCTTTTCGTCCTTTTTCGTCCTCTTTCGTCCTTTTTGTCATTTTTCGTCCTTTTCGTCCTTCTTTGTCCATTTTTGTCCTTTTGGTCCTTTTTCGCCCTTTGTCGTCCTTTTGGTCCTTTTTCGTACTTTTCGTCCTTTATCGTCCTTCTTCGTCGTTTCGTCCTTTGGGTCCTTTTTCGTTCTTTTTCGTCCTTTTAGGCCTGTTTCGTCCTTTTCGTCCTTTTTCGTCCTTTTCGTCCTTGTTCGTCCTTTTTCGTCCTTTTGTTCGTTTTTCGTCCTTTTGGTCATTTTTCGTACTTTTCGTCCTTTTCGTCCTTCGCGTTTTTTTTGTTCCTTTTTCGTCCTTTTCGTCCTTGTCGTCCTTTTCGTCCTTGTGCGTCCTTTTTGGTCCTTTTTCGTCCTTTTCATCCTTCTTCGTCTTTTTGGTTCTTTTTCCTACTTTTCATCTTTTATCGTCCTTTTCGTCCTTTTTTGGTCCTTTTCCTCCTTTTCGTCCTTTTCGTTCTTGTTCGTCCTTTTTCGTCCTTTGTCGTCCTTTTTCGTCCTTATTCGTCCTTTTTGTTCTTTTTCGTCCTTTTCGTCCTTTTTCGTTTTTTCGTCCTTTTCGTCCTTATGCGCCCTTTTTCGTCCTTTGTCGTCCTTTTTGTTCTTTTTCGTCCTTTTTCGTCCTTTTCGTCATTTTTCGTCCTTTTTCGTCCTGTTTCGTCTTTTTCGTCCTTTTGTCCGCCCGATTTTATGGATTTCTAAGAATTCATATCAAAATTTTTGATATCATATGTCCAAATTTCGACATAAAATCGAACCTTAGAGCTACTGCGTAGAAATTTGTTTCCAAACTGATGCATCAAAATCTTGGATATTGAAAGAAAATTTTAAAGTTAATCGAAATTGTAGATTTGGAAGAATAAAAATATTGAAATTTTGGCACCATACATCACATTTTTAGACTTTAATACATTTATTTAAGCTTTCTGGTTCTACATTTTGTGTCTTAAAATATTTACAAATTAGATGGTGTGCTGCTGAGGCTTAAGGCCTTTTCAACATAGCACCATACATCGAAATTGCTACATTATATATCGATCCTAACAACAGTTACGTCAAAATTTGTCTCAATTACATTTCAGTCTTTAAAATATGAAAATTGTGTCCAATGATTTAGAAGTTTGTTCCCGTGCCTTTAAAATTTCAATTAAATATAACAGTTTTTTAGTGAATCTAGAGCAAACATCTAAACTACATCAAAAATTGTTCCCATTACTAGAAAATTTTAGACAGTTGTATTGATTTTGTGGGTTTCTAAGAATATATATCGAAATTTTTGGTGAAAATTTATCGAAATTTAGACATAATCTGGAACTTTAGAGCTACTACGTAGAAATAATGTAAAATAAAATATGACGGAAAAGTGGATATTTTTTTGATGGAGAACCTAATTACCTTACATTTAGATTAATTCTAAGCTGTTATAGTCAAACCATAGCTCGAATCTCGAGAGATCCCTTTGCAATAGTTCTGAGTCGGCAGGTGTACCAATTCTATAGAAGAGTTTCAGATCATCTGGAAAGAGCAAAAATCTACCGCTCCGGAAACAGATATTGATGTCGTTCATGAAGACTAGAAATAATAATGGTCCCATGTGAAAATTCAAACAAATGTAGCAATTTTTAATGAATTTAGAGCAAACATTTCAACTACATTGAATATTATTGTTACTGAACGAAAATTTTAGACAATTGTATCGGAATTGTGGATTCCGAAGAAGAAATATCGAAATTTTGGCACCATACATCGAAATTTCGTCGTTCTACATCGAATCTTCGAAAAACTACTTTAAAGTATGTCTCCATTATATCTCAGTAAAATGCAAAGCAAACATTTGACCTACATCGAATAGTGTTCCTATTACAATAAAATATTAGACAGCTTTATGGATTTTGTTGATTTCTAAAAATAAATATCGACATTTTGGCACCATATACCGAAATTTAAGCTGTATAAACCGCGTGATCAGAAATAACTGAGTCTGTTGGCGGTACTTTTCAAGTAAAACTAGAAACTTTTCTTGCATTCAGATTGGTATAACGGAAGGAAATCCGTAATACTTACGTCGGTCGTGACATGCCATACATTTAGGCTATGTTTTGAATACATTTCAAATTAAACAACAATAATAATGTGTCGATCTTGACAGCTGACAACTGGAAATTATAGAAAATATCATGGTACTAATTTCAACTAAAACTCAGGATTGCCAACAGACTCAGTCATTTTTGACCACGTGGTATATCGAACCTTAGAGTAGTTACGTAAAAATTTGTCTTCATTACATTTCAATCATCAAAATATGGAAATTTTGTATTGGTATTGTGAATTTCTAAGAACACATATCGAAATTTTTGACAACGAAGATTTTGTCGCACGACATCTAATGTTGCTTTCGTCACATCGAAAATTCAAAGAAATGCAGTAGTTTTTACAGAATTTAAAGCAAAGATTTCAACTACATTGAATTCCGTTGTTGAGAGTTCGACGGTAACTAACTTCTTGGGGTCCTATGGTGTGTGAGTGTATTTAGACGTAGCTGATTACATCATTGCAAGGCAAGCACACATAACATTGGAATGCGAAGTTCACTTTTAGTTGTTTCGCTTGGTTAAGGCTGTTACTCCAAATCTTTGTTGATGGATTTTAGTTAAACTCTTCCAATGAAAACTAAAATTTTATTATTTTTCGATTAGAGTATTAGTTTACGGTCAAACTATACCTTCAGTAATAAAACTCTTCTATCTTCAAGTGCTGTTAGCTTTCCCAACTACGACATCTTTGACGTTGTACAACCAGTTAACAAGTGTAGACGATGAGCGTTCGAAATGTTTTCCAACAGAATCATCATTTAAAACCGAAAATCTTGATTCCTGGAGCGGGTTCGCCTTTTTTGATACAATACATTCCACTAAAATCATTACTTTATTATTTTGCATGTTTTAAGGTCACTCCTACCTTCGTTTGTCAAATAAGAATGTTTATGTTTTTTATTAAAATCTGCTTTATTTAGGGGATACCTGTAAACAAATATCTAAATTTTTGATACTTTTGTATAAATACATTTTTACCTTTGTAAAACATGTCTTCTCATATCTTCAAGTTTCCATAATTTGTTCTCAATATATTGACGATCGATCCATCTGGTCATTTCTACCAATAACCGACGTTTCAAAACGCCGTTTTCCCTAGCGAAGTGTAGCGGATACAAAGAATTGTAAACGTCAACAGAGTCCATGTCAATTTTTCTTTTGAAGACAAAATCAACGTACTCGTCATTTCCCAAATAAACCGCAAGATGTAGCAGTTTATATAAACTCGAAGTGTCTGTTTCGCTCGTCATATCGTCTTCTTTCAACCAACACAAAATGTCAAAACTTCGACGTTCCCTCAAGCAAGAATCAACTCTCTCTTTCACTTGAACATTCGTTCCAAATCTTCTTCTTTCCAGTGCTTGCAAAATGGGTGAGTTCTTCCTCAGAATAGCTTCTACTTTCAGCGACGGGTCGTTACAGTCTAACACCACCTCTGGCGATTGCAATAAAAAGTTAACTAGTCTTTCGTCGCAGTGCCGAATAGCATAATGCAGAAGAGAGTTCTGATTTGACTTGCTCAACCTCATTTCAGTGACACCTTTTTGTAAAATCGCTTCTGTAATACTTGTATCGTGCTTTTCCAAGTAGTCCCAAAGAGTTTCGCCACGTTGAGAAGCACAATTGACATCAGCTCCTCTCAAAATCAGTAGCTTCGTCACAAGAAAGTGGTTGTTTTTAGCAGCTAAATACAGTGCTGTGTCACCAGAACTGTTAGCAGAATTGATTTTAAAACCACGTCTCAGGAGTAAATCAATTAGGCTGCAGTTGCCCAAGCTGCCTGCTATAGACATGACTTCTTGGTTTGCTGGATTATCACTGTCAGCTTGGTAGCCTCTTTCTAAAAATAGGTCGACGATGGAGATATTACCTCTTTGGACTGCTTTCCTGAAAGCTCGAGAGTCATTTACGTCTGCTCCTTTTTCCATTAGTCGTCGTACCATGTGTTCGTCGTCGTTGTCAACAGCGTAGTACAGAGGCGTCAATCCATTCAAAACTTTTAAATTGGGATAGGTGTTGACTATTATTTTTGCACAGTCCTTGGGGAAGTGTTTGCACAAGCTTTCCCAAATAGCGTCATTCTGTCCGGTGTAGTAGTTGATGTCGGCGCCGTTTTTGAGCAAAAGGTGGACTATATCGAGTTGTTTGGTTGCAACAGCTACCTGAAGAGGTGTTTTTAGTTTAAAATTGGTGGCATTGACGTCTGCTTGATTTTGCAGTAACCATGTCACAACGTGGGACTTTCCAAGGGCAACTGCTTGATGCAAACTTGTGTCTCCGTCGTGTTTTATATTTATGTTAAGTTTGTTATCTGTATACAATTGCATGTTACGCTCAGGTCTCGGTTCATGAAGAATTATTGACATGAGTATTCGGCTGAGATCTTCTTTATTAAGAGCGTCAAGTCGAAGACCTTTCCGCAGAAGTACCTCTAAATAAGCTTTGTTTCGGAATGACTCTTTCACTGCGAACAGGTCTTGGATTTTGGCTTCATACTGTAGTAACTTTTCCACCAAGTCCCAACAGTTACTAGCGATCGCTTTGCTTAGAGGTGTACCATGGTTAGTAGTTTTGTCAAGAGAATCCACAGATATGATTTCCAAATTAGGGTTGGCGCCTCTTTCCAGAATCAAATTAATCGTAGTCTCGTGCTTACGCATTTGTGAATTGCTTAAAAATGACCAAATATTGATTCCTTCTGTGGAAATTTTCGTAATGTCAGCTCCATTGTCTAACAGAAGACTGACTATTTTAATCTTCTTGGTAAGAAGTAACTGTATTATTTTATTGCTGTCTGTACAAGCACTGGCAACATGTAGGACGGTGTCTTTGTCAATCGTCGATGTGATATCTACGGCTGCTCCTTTGTCTAGTAGTAGTTCGACTACGTGGAAGGACCCTTTTCTAATGGCATAAAATAAAGGTGGTTCGCCTTTATCATCTGTCATATTGATCTGTTGGTCACTTAAACACATTTTAATTATATCAATGTTGTTTCCAAGAACTGCACAGTGTAGTACTGTTAGACCACATTTAGTTTTCAAACTAAAGTTGGCTCCTTTTTGTAGCAAAACTACAACAGATTGATAGTGACCCATTTCTGCAGCTATGTGAACTGCCGTTTTCCCATCTTCGTCTTGGAAGTTAACATCTAGATTCTGATCTAGCACGTAGTTAATTATTTCAATGTTGGTGGTTGCTACGGCGTAGTGTAACATAATTTCGTCATGGTAGTCCAAGTCAGTATGTTGTTGTTGTCTGGATAGCAACATCTGTAAAATTTCTAAGTCTTGGTTTTGAATGGCTAAATGTTTCGCTTGCTCGTTTAGATTATTGACAGCTTTGACATTACTACCTTTTTCAAGCAGCAACTTAACCATTTCTCTATTTTGTTGTTTAACAGCGATATGTAGTACGGTGTTTCCTGTCGTTTTGTCTCTTGCATCAACGAAGTTCGTGTCTTCGTCTAACAACATCTTCGTAAATTCTAGATCGTTGTTTTGAACAGATAGATGCAAAATTGCGTTCTTGTATACATTATCTGATAGTCCATAATCAACGAGTAATTCAGCGATCTGATTTTTCTTCTTCAGCTCACTTTGTAAAGCAAAACGTAGTAAAGTCTTCGACTTGAAAGAGTCTTCTATAATCTTCACAATCTTCGAATGACGTTTATCCAAAGAAATCGTCAACAGGTTCAGGTAGCCCCACAACACTGAATAATAGGCAATTGTAGGATTGTTGATGAAGTTGTGAGCTTCAAGATCTTTATAGACCTCATGTGTCATCCCAAAGTTCTCCAAAATAAATTCAATTGCAAATAAATTACCCTGAAGTATGGCATAGTGGAAGCTATCTTTGTCAAATATTCTATCACGCTCGTACGGATCAAATTTCAGCATGAGTTTTCTGATAAGATTGTTATTTCGTCGAATTTCCTCTTCGTCGTCAGTAGATAAGTGATTTATGGTAAACTTGATTGCTTCAAAAGAGTCAATAATGTCACCGTCTTCCGAAAACAAATTAACGCAGTCTGAAAAATCCATAGCCAGGTGTAGTGGATTTCGACCACCTTCGTCATGTATTTTTTCGTCGTCAAGGTGTTTTTCCACTTCGTCAAAATTTTTGTGGATGATTGCGAGGTGCAAAGGGTTGTGTTCGCATAGTTTGATATTCAACATTAGTAGGACGTTGCTGTATCCTTTGACAAAAAGACGGTTGATGAGAACTCGAGCTTTGTCAAAATTTTTGGAAAAAAAGGTAGCTGCGAAGTACTCGGCGTAGGTGTTGTGCTCAAACACCCCCTTCTGACCATCAATTTTTTTGACAATCCCTAACGGATCTCCTTCGGTTTTTATCTTATTTATGAAGTATTGGTATTTTCGGAGGTCCACATTCATTGTGTGAAGAATATCGTCATCGAAAAGTGACTGCAAAGCTAGTGTTTCGTATTGTTCTAAATACTCACTACAGTCATACATGAAGGGGCACGGATGATCACATTTAGTTTTTTCAACGCAATGTCGATATTTTCCTTCGAAGAAGTATTTGTATAGTTTGGTCAAAACGAAAAAATTGTCAGTTTTTCGGAATTTCGGGTTGCTGAGTAGTATCTCGGTGATTATGTACAGCTGTAGCGGTATTCCTAAAATCTGTAGATTGTTGATCATATTCACGCTGGTAAAAATGTGTTTCATGACTACTTTAATCTTGTCTTCGTTGTATTCGCTTTGAAGTCGATCTTGCACATATCGTTCTTGCTCTTCTTCACTGAGTTCTAAGATGCCTATACTAAAGATGTTGAATTTTTTCAACAGTTGGTTTTGTAGGTTTGGTCTAGAAGACACCCACACACGAAATCCCAGACGTGACAGTTTTTCTATTCCGTCTAAAACATTTTTGACATAGGGACTCGGTATCTCGTCTAGACCATCCAAGAAGAAAATCATTTTTCTGTGTTGAATGAAGACTTTAATGAAGATGTTATTGGGAGTTGTCGTTTTGATAAAATATTTTAGAACGCTTTTTGGGGAGTGTTTTCTGTTGAAGAACATGTAGTGATCTTTAAGATTTTCATTTATAGCCCAAAAATCGTGTGGACAGTTGATTCCTAAATAGTTCAAAGTTTTTGACTTTCCCATTCCAGGTTCAGCAATCAGAATGTTTACCGGATTATCAAAAACTGTGTGAACTTCCTCTTCATCAAAAATTTCCTGTTGTGTGTTTTCTACTTCGTGAATTAGAGCGCTAGTACTTCGTACTAGCAAATATTTATCGTCACCAACTGATTTGAAGAAATGTACAGGTTTGCCTGGATTTATGTTACAAACATCTTCGAATAAAGTTTCATTGAAGTTTTCACTTACTGACAATATGGGTGACATCTGGTCAAAACCTTTTCCATTTTGAAGATATTTGTGGACGTCTATCGCTTCTATTTCTTGTCGAAATTTGAAGTTGTTGTCAAGTTTGACAATATATACCGCATATTTTCCATTTCTGCACAGTTTTAAAAGATTTTCTGTACTAAAGACGATTGTGGAGACTTTTCTGAGTATGTGATAGTTTGATATTTTTTCTTCGCCAATCAAGAGCCGCTCTTTTAACATTTTTACCACTTCTTCTGTCTTAAAAACAGGCGTCACGTTGTCAAAATCGTCACTTAGTTGTTTCAGACTGATTTCGCTTCGTCCTTGTAACGAGATTTTACATTTGGTTATTATATTCTCATAAAGAACCTTATTTTTTACTCTTATGTCGTCTAGGTTTTGGAAAACTGTGACCCCGAGTAGCTGACTGGAATCAACTTTGTGACGTCCTAGTAGTCAACTTTGTGACGTCCTAGTAGCACAAATTTTACTCTATCTTCTCTAACTTTATAGAGTTTCAGCAACTGATAAATTGACTCTTCCGAGTTTTTATAAAAATCAACCACCAGCAAGTTTTCAAAGAAATAAAAATATATTTTCTTCTGGGTGACTTCATCCAATTCACCTGATGTTCTCTCAGTAAATTTGTAGTCTTTTGCTAATCGTAACATACATTCTTTCACTCCGAATTTGCGGGCGTACTTCTTGGTGTATTTGTTGAAGTTGGATTTTGCTCTTTTGCTCGATAAACGGTCAAAATTTTGGCATGTTGCTAGATCTGGCTTGTTAAGCAAAGTAACATCAAATTCGTGGACTGCTTGATCAAACAATTCCATGTTTGGATTTTGTGTGCTGAAAAAACAGTGGTCGGTGTTGTACGTCCACAAAAACATGTCACAAAGGTGGAAGTTAACCGTTGTACGATCTATAGTTTTGTTACTAAATCTTCCTTGGTGCCATTTTCGAAATAAAGCAACGTAGCTCTGGAAAACATTCTCGTTGCCTAAAATTCGAGATATTTCCTGTTCTAGTGTTTTGAAATTTTTTTGACCCGTGTAGAATGTTAGCTTCGAAAAAAACTCCTTGTACTCACTTTTAGTTATTTCGGCAGTTTTCAGCGGAACGTTAGTGACACTAAAGTTATACACTTTGTCACTAGAGTCGCTCGTGTTGAATAATTCCAACTCTACGTGATCTTCGACTTTGTCCATTTTAAAAATTTTTAGTCCATTTTTGACGTTTTCGCTTAGGTTGGCATTCGTGTAAATGATAAACTGGTAATTGTTTTTGATGTTGGGTTTCAAATTCTTGAAGCTTTGGCAATACTGGGGTAGGCTGAAGGGGTTATTGGTGGATTCGAGCGCTGCTGGAGATAAGGTCTTACCGTCGTCTCCTTTGTGCTTTAACTGGAAAGCGAAATGTTTGTTGGTTCCATTTGTAAATTTAATGTCGAGGACAACGTCGTCGAAATTGCCGAAGTCTTGAGAGTTACTTCTGAATGAGAAATCGCTGATTTCTTCATGGTTGTTTAGTTTTAGGGCCAAATAGGCAGGGAGATAAATTTCGTATTCGGTGCCGTAGCCAGGGTGATTCTGAAAATTTTAAGAAATTGTTAGAGCTAAGTTGAAAATTACGTTTCTCTTGAATTTATTTCGTATTGAAACAGTACAACAGCATTTGTTTGAAACAAACGGACGTATTATTATTTTTCTTGTAAAACACTTTTGTAATTTTTTTTAAGATTAGCCATAAGATTTATTATTTTAGCCGTATAGCTGGTGGTAGGGAATAAACCCGATTATTATTTCAACCATTCCTTGCCGGTTTATTCTATTATTTTGTTTTCGCGGGCGCTCACCACCTGAGATCCGTGGCTCCGTCTTGAGACCAACCCCGGCGCTCCCTCCCTCGTAGAGAGAGCTGGCGCCAGAGCGACCGCCGCTCCTGACCGGTGACGTGAAGGTCGCTGCATAAGCTTAGGTCGGCCAGACGTGTTTTTAAATCACACTAGTCGGTCCAAAGCTTGGCGTCCGTCCGTCACAGCGGAATTTCGTCGCAGTATTTATACATTCACCATACAAATACGTTTAGATTACGTTTGGAACGACAATTAAAAGAAAATAATTTATTGGGGTCAAATTTCAAGATTTCTTTGTGCACTGATTTTGATGCAGTGATTTATAATATTTGTAAAATTTAATGCACGTGAGATATTTTTATCGCCATCAGATTAAATGTTGGACTAGAAAATAAGTGCCTTATACTTTAGAAAGATAAGAGCATTCAAAAATTATAGATAAAAATGTTCATCAGTGATTATAATCTATGAATGACGTTTCCTCATTCCGGTTAAAAATAGTCCTAAATATATGAGAAAATAATTCGTGTCGCAGATTACCATTTTTACTTCCCGAGCATAAGCTAAGGAAGTATTGTAATAGGGTCCATCCGGTGAAAGACTACTTTCATGTTTTCTCAAGGTTTCATGGTCCCCACAATACATAAAAATAGGTCTCTCGTTTCCGTTTAGAAACTCTATCTAAGTAACATTAACCCATTTTTTACTACGTTTTTGCGCCAAAGAAAATATTTAGCTAGCAATCAAAGACACAACACTGAACAATAAAGTTTTAAAAATTAATTTATATCTTACCTGGTTTGATTTCGCCATTTTGCGGTATATACTGTTAACGAGATATACATTTCACGGATTATAAATTACAAATACGATCTTGTTCAAGTTGTTTTAAACACAATAAGTAGTACTTACGGTATTTTGTGTTGTAATTTGTAGATAATATATACTTTATCGCCAATTTACCTAGATATCAAGGTAAATATTTTTTTACAATGTTTCAGACCTATTGTCTATTATTTGATCTCATTAGATGATATCTTTTAATATTTTTTATAAGTCAAAATCAAGATTTAGGTTGGTATTGGATGATTTATTGTACTGTGGAAATTAAGTGACATTTTGTTTATAATAAATATACGACTTTAGCTTTGTGTTTAACAACCCGCAACTATAATTAAGCAGGCTGACTTTTGTTTTTATAACGTGTTATCATCTACATGATATTCTTAATACAGGGTGCAGCATTCAAGTTTGGACATAGAGAATTAAAATGGGAAATTACATTATCTTAGCAAGTACAACACTGTACCAATCCAATATACAAAAACATAATGAAACAAACCGTGATTCTGAAAGTGGTAGAAGAGGAAATTCCGTCATCTTGCAACGAAATTTCGGTGTGACGGACGGACGGTCCGGAATCTCGCCGATAACGTGTGGTGGCGGCGTACCTGAGTGCTAAGCCTTGGGCCGACCAGTGTCGCTGATATAAAAAACACGTCTGGCCGACCTAGGCTTATGCGGTGAACTTCATGCCGTCGGGCGCCAGCTCCCTCTCCGGGGGCGGGAGCGCCGGGGTTGCTCTCAAGCCAGAGACACGGATCTCAGGTGGTCAGCGCCCACGAAAACACGAGAGTAGCTAGCTACACGGCTAATATTAAATTAATTTACCCCCACAAATGCATCACTCAATAATAGCTTTAAAGTAATCTGAGGATATATTATAAAATAAAAATCAATTTCCCATGTTAAACATTATCATTTCAGAAATTGGGATATTATTAAAACTTTTATAATTAACTCCACACACCACTAAAATTTTAGCGAATACAAAAATAACATCCCGGGGATCCATTTTTCCAAACTCGACGTAGGCGAGAATTCCATTTTTTGTGATTGACACGCCTCATTTTAATTTCGTTCATGTTATTTCGCGCGATGATCGGCCTCTGTTTGCCGTAATAAAATTGTCTCTATCGCCTACCCGAACCGCTCTCTAATTTATTAGATCTGCATTCAATTTTAAATTAAAATTTAATTAAAATGGATCCGATCAACTACAATTGGAGTAATTTACGGTGCGAGTGCCGTCGACGCTCCGATAATAAATACCCATCGCGAGCACTTCCACAGTTGTCGACGCTGGAGAGGAATTAGCGCGCCATTTGCACCGGACAATTGAACAACAAACTCATGTTCTTTTTTCAGTCACGTCCGTCGGCCCGATCCGATTAGAGAGAGACGGCGCGAGAGGGAGAGAACGCGCGATCCGCCGCAGCAGGTGTAAACAGAGAGCGGAGAATTCGATCTTGGACGTAAATTGTAAATTTCGACTGGATATAGAATTTGTGAACGCCACGTCCGAGATCATCAGTCACGTTCGGCGACAGTGACGGATAACGCCGAAGTCTATACGCTAATTTCGTCGATTACGAATTGTTCCGAGCGGGCGGCTGTATGGAATTCCGAACGAATTGGACGCCGATGGAGGCGGAAGAAATTGGAAGTGAAAATTAGAAAATGGAGTTTTTTATTTGATTTGCGCGATGTGGCGAGCGTTTCGAGTGGGTAGGGTGGGTGATGCCGGGCAGACCGCTGATAGTCACGTTAAAAGGTACTGTTGTCGATAGATTGTTTACGAAATATCTAATTTTATGCTTTCGCGGCGCTGAAGCTGCTCTTATTACACGAAAATTCGCCGGCTCGTTTTTCTCACCTATCTCTGCCGGGGGTCTGTACGTCGAGATTTGTGGTCTAGGACCGGGTTTTTGAGGTGATGGAGGAGTCTGAAGGAAACAACGTTACATTCGACCCAGTCTCAAGAGCTGTCAGCGCTTTGAATGTACAACAACTGGGGATTGTCACAATAACTGTTAAGATAATTTACAGTGTTATCTGATACCCGCTTCAGATTTTGGGCCGGTTCTAACAACAAGGGGATTTTATTTCGCCAATAATATACCCCTACACTTGTTGTCTACGAATCCGCTTTGAGTTTTCCACCTAGATATCCACATTTTCGCAAGAAATTCCGAAAATGTGTAAGCACCTTTTACACTGGTAACTACTGGTACTAAGGACCAGTCATGTATCAGTTGGTTGTCGTCGAATGTTCGGTTAACGTCTTTGACAATGGTGAATTTTTCCAATTCAGAGTGACAACCTTGAAAACTTACAATTTTGAATAAAAATGAAAGAGGGAAGTTAACATAACTGTATACTCTACACAAAAAGGCAAAAAGATTATTGAAAGCAAAAACAATCCGTGGACCACTTCAAACCCGAAACAGTAACTAAACTTTGTGACAAAATTTTGCAGCCAAGTCGTCCCTTCCTGATTAGAGGGGGTACTTCTTGGCCAGTCACCTCCTTTCGGGGGTGGTTTCTCTCAGAAAACTTTTTCCCACAGTTTGGCCTAAAAAGAGAGCAATGACTTGGAACGGGTGGTCTATCGGCACAATCGTCCAATTCATAGGAACATCCTTCCCGTACAATAGACTTACCAACATTAAACAGAGAATTATCCATAGTTTACAAGGATACTCTACGGTCATTGACCACGGTGAGAATTTCCTATGCTCGACCCCTAATAAAAATTATCCCGGTTCGGAACTTGCTGGCCAATTTCGTTGGCCCGGGATCGAGAAGAATACCATCTATGTGTACGAATAAAGTCCGTGTCGAAGACTGACATTTCTGATGCTTGAACGTATCAATTTTATACCTCTAAACAACGGGATTCCATGTTATTGCTAGGTCCCATTGTATAAAGCGCATCAAACCGAAAACGTGCTCGGTCCATGGGAATTTTAGGGAACTTTATAGTGCGGATGTATATTGCAGGGTAATTTAGGAATTCCGGGTAACACGATGTTTAAAAGGTGGATCAGTGGCATCGCGTCGAGAGCGGTTCGTGAGAGTTTGCCCCATTCGACATTTAATTTGTTTTTTCTATATTTCTTCGTTACTAGGGTACGTGATATGACTGTTTTTGCAAAGTGAGGCAAAAGAATATTCTAGCTTTGTGTCTTGTATTAAAAAAAAAAGCTTTGGAAGTAGCCAAAGAACTGCATATGATTAGATTTAAGGATGCTTGGAAAAATTTTGTCCTCGATGGAACGTCATCTAAAAGACCATTTCTGGAGAAGCAGCCGAAGATGACACTGAAGATATAGTGCAATGGAAAGAAAAACTCAAAGAAATCTGACAAAACTACTCTCCGGAAAATTCCTTCTTTGCCGACGAAACTGGATTCCTTTTTACAGCATTGTCTAAAAAAATTCTCGGCTTGAAAAATAAAAAACGCAGCGGTGGAAAATGTTCGAACATCCAAATATGGCATTAAAAAATGTCAAATTGGTATTATTTCCTCCAAATATGACACCACATTGTCAACCCAATGGTTGACAAAGGTGTAATTCGCATTTTTAACTTAATTTACAGAAAACTTCTTGAGACTTTTATCGTCAATGGTTGAAGTACAGAACATTCAACAATTAGAGAATTTAATAAGCGTTGTCAATGTTCTGACATTGATTCCAGCCGTATGGCCCAAAGTCAAACCAGAGATTAAAATCGATGTTTTCTAAAAGCAGGATTTGGAGAAAACAGTGAAGTAGTAGGTTCCGATTTTAATAAAGAAAATGATGTGCCACTGGCGTATCTTTCAAATGATGCTAAATACAAATTTATTCGATTATGGCAGCATTAATGATCATGATCACTTAATAACCAAATATTCTGATGTAGATATTTTTAACTATGTGTTCTTTTGTAAAGCGAGAATGGGAACTAATCGAATGTAGGCTGTTAAAAAAAAGCCTTAATCGTAATTTTTTTGTTATACTACCTATTTGTTATAATGTTTATTTGTTATTTCTGAAGAAGAAAATGAGAGAACGGGTGGGTGGGCGGGGGTAAGTTTAACTTTTTCCTAAAGAATTTTTTATAAGCAAGCAATAGCCCCGCCCACCCACCCTCTCTTCATTCCAGTGATTATTCTTAATATTGTTCAGTCAGTTACCAAAATCAATTTTATCTTAACAAGTACTAGCCCCGCCTACCCGCCCTCTATTTTCTTAGAACGTATGTCGTTTACCAAAATCAGTCTAATTTTAACAAATACTAGCTACGCCCACCCGCCTTCTATTTTCTTAGGGGGTATGTAATTTGCCACAAACAAGTACTACACTGCACCAATCTAATATACAAGAACATAATGAAAACAACAATGATGAAACAAATCGTGATTCTGATAGTGGTAGAGAGGACCTGGGTGCCAAGCATTGAGCCAAGTAGTGTCTCTGATATAAAAAAACACGTCTGGCCGATCTAGGCTTATGCGGCGACCTTCACGCAGTCGGACGTGGCGCCTTCGGTCAGGACCCTCTCCGGGGGAAGGAGCGCCGGGGTTGCTCTCAAGCTGGAGACACGGATCTCAGGTGGTCAGCGCCCACAAAAACACGACAGTAAAATAAAACGGCAAGGAATATTTTAAATAATAATCGGGTTTATTCCCTGCCACCAGCTACACGGTTAAAATAATAAATCTTATCTTAAATTTAATTTAACAAAATAACAGAAACAAGCGACAATTTGAGAGACGTCTGTAAGAGTTTACGGCATTATTTTCGCGTGAAAACGTTTATTAACTGCCAAACTTATAGTCAAATGATGAAAAACACTGTTTACAACAACAGCCTCCTTTGTTGTTTAAATTAAGAAAATATCGTACTTGGTCTGTTTCTGTTATTTTGTTAAAATAAATTTAATTCTGGGTTTATTTGTCTTCTTTTTTGCTAATTTGTACATCATGTGTCAATAATGAATGTTTTTTAATAAAATAACGATT